GGCAAGATACTGCTCTGAGACTGGGGTGGGGAAAAGGAATGAGAGGTCTCAAGAAGAGGAAAAAAGAAACAGGTGCAAACTGGTTATGCTGGGAGCATGGTGTGAAGAAAGTGTATGAAGAGCAGGGAGGGTGGGGAAAGGAAGAAACCCAGTTCCCTCACTTTCTGGCTGCTCTCTTTGAAATCTTGCACAGTGTTGATTCCATGTGGTTTCCCGTTCTAAATCTGCAGAGAAATAAAGAAGGAAAATTTCCTCTTCTCTGCTTACTGCTGTGTAGGGAATGAGAGAGAGAATTTAAAAGTGATGGGATAGTAAATCTGAGATATTCTTGACACATAGTTTGGGATTGGGGAGAAGTAGTAAAAAGAGAAATATAACCTGGACTTCTTACTCATGACAGCTTTTGCTTCTCCCCTTCATTTTCATGCAGACCCATCTGCTGGTCTTTTAAGGAGGAATGTGGAGGGACAAATGGTCCCAGTGGCAGAATTTTATCTCCCTGGGGTCAGTCTTCACACTGTCTCAGGAACAGAGGAGCCCCAGCGAGGGCTGTCTTTGCAGTGTACCAAATCACCTGGCGTGCTGGGCTTGGTCAGCCTGGAGCACTGGGCCACCCCCCTGGGCTTGGTTTGCCTGGAATACTGGGCCACCCCCCTGGGCTTGGTTTGCCTGGAATACTGGGCCACCCTCTGCATTTGCGTGTGGTGCTGCTGGTGTGAACAGCACACTGTGGATTTAGAGGTGTCTCCACCTCAGGCGGCAGGGCAGCCTTCCATCCTTCACAGAGTAAGGACTGAAATTCTAGAATATTTGTGCACACAGGCTCCTTTAAACCCAGAGGCACTGACTGGACTTGATATTTCTTCCCCCACCCACTCCTTCTTCCAAGCCACTTTGTTACCTGGAAACATTGGGAGGGAATAAACTGAGTGTAATTCACACACGAAGTGTTTGCTGTGTGTAAGACACTGCTCTGGACTCTGTGTGTACTAACTCAGTCTTCACAACTACCCTAAGAGCTAGGTGCTGATGTCAACATCCAGCTGATGGGTTGCAGATGAAGGCACAGAGAGGTTAAGTAACTCTCTTGAGATCACCCTGCTGAGAAGCAGAGAGCAGACTGACTCCAGGATTCACAGCATTCTACTTCTTCATATGTCAAGGGTAAACATGAATGAAATTTCAATCTCAAGGTTTTGCCATCTTTGGTATTTGAGTTAAAAATGGTCTTTTGGGATGCAGAACTATTTTTAACTAGGGTGACTAGGAATTTTGGATCATTGAAAAAGCTCTTTCCTAACAATTAGAAAAAAAATTTATTTTTATAGCAGGGTGACAGAGCGTGCCTGTGCTTCCATCTGTTGGTTCACTTCTCAGATGGTTATAATGGCCACAGCTTGGCCAGGTAGAAGCCAGAAATCAAAAACACCATCCAGATCTCTGACACAGCTGGCAGGAACCCAAGTACTTGGGCCATCATATGCTGCCTTCCCATGTGCATTAGCAGGGAGCTGGGTCAGGAACAGGACAGCAGGAATCGAACAGGTGCTCCGGCATGGGATGCTGGCTTTGCAGGCAGTGGCTTTCCCACCTGCCACAATACTGGGCACCCTCTTCCATTCTTTAACAATGTGAGCCTTGGGAAAGTTGCGCATGGGTTCTTGATTATCTCATGGTTCAAATGAGGTGATGGGGAGGGGCTTGTGCAGTGTTAGACCAGGCTAATCTGTCTCCTGTGACATTAGCATCCCTTATAGTTGCCAATTCGAATTCTGGCTGCTCCACTTCTGATCAGTTCCTTGCTCATGGTGTGGAAAATCAGCAGAAGATGGCTCAGGTCCTTGGACTCCTGCACCCTTGTGGGAGACCAGGAAGAAACTATTTGGGGAGTGAATCAGTAGATGAAAGAACTCTCTCTCTCTCTTTGTAAATCTGACTTTCTAGGTAAATAAATGTTTAAAAGAAAATGAAATGATGTAGAGACTTTTTGTATTTTCCAGCTCTGAGAGTCCGTGATTCTTGCTGAGTTTTCATCATTTGTTATTTCTATTCTTGTTCCTCTAGAGCAGTGCAGGAGACAACACAGCCCAACAGCTCACAGTAAGCATCAGCCTATTCCAGGGACAGGCAGCACCTCCCTTGGTCAGCTAAGAACTCTGTGACTGTGGCAGTCGCTGTCACTGAGGAAGTGAGCTTATACTGGTGATGAGCTGGGCTCCAGTTTAAGTTGCAGGGTATGAGGCAGAAGCTTTCTTTCTAATACAAGCAAGTAAAGAGGACTGGGCAGGCACTTCTTTATTTTTGCCATTGGCTGACCAGGAGACGTTGAGAAAGTTGTCCTGCCCCAACATTTGCAACTGTAAAACGGAGATAATTAGGAGTGTGAGGTAGTTTGGTTATTCACCCATGAGCAAGTCCTTGGTTGTAGCTCCAACTGTCCTGTGAGGGTTACTGCTCCTCGTGTCAGCCATTTTTCCCTAGGGAGACCTAGATGCTGAGTTTGCACAAGCAAGGGCCTCCCCTCCCAGGCTTACCTCATCCACCCTGAGGCTCTTTCTATCACCCTGTAATGCTCATCACTTGCATTTAAGGTACAGAAAAGAATCATAGCTTAGGAGGTAGACTCAAGTTCATCTTCCAAAATAAGAATATTGAGAACTCAGGAGTGGTATTGTGGTACAGAGGATTAACCTACTGCTAGAGACGCCTTCATCCTGTACTGGAGGCCTAGTTTGGGTTCTGGGTACTTGTGCTTTCCATTCAGCTTCCTACTAATGTGCCTGAGGGACAGCCAATGATGGCTCCAGCACTTGGGCACCCACAAACTAAGTGGGAGTCCTGGATGGAGCTCTAGGTCCCTAGCTTCAGGCTGGCCCAGCCTTAGCTATTGCAGGCATTTGGGAAGCAAAGCAGTGGATGGAAGGTCTGCTTGAGAGTCTTCAAGGGTCGCTAATCAGCCATAGCAGATGCTGAGTCCTGATTCTGTAACTAAGGCCCTGCCTGTCCTAGTAGGATCTACCAGTCTCACTTCCCAGACTTACGCTTCAGCAGTGAGGATAACATTTGGTACCTTGCTGTTTTTCCAACACATCATGCTGGCTGCTAAGTTTTATTTTGTTCTACTCCCACCACCTGGAGTGCCTTTTCCACTTGTCTTCACATGGGTCATGCCAGCTCATTCTTCAGTCATGCTCAGGAGCCTCTCTGTGAGAGGTGCTCCCCTGTGCCTATTGCCTCCCTATTTATGAATGGCCAGTTGGGATTCTGTGACAATTCTCTACCCTGGCCTGGCTACAATCTGGGCAGTATCCTAGTCACCTCTGCCCTAGTACCCAGCGCTGTAATCTGTTTGGTTCTCTGAATGACCACTATCCCATGGGTCCAGCTTTCCAATTCCCGTCCATCCCCTGAATGCTGTTTGTTGGCCCTCTTCCTGGGGACCCCATTACATCAAGGCCCTGCCAGCCTTGTGCTTGTCACTGCTTGTGCAACCTCAGGGCATGCATAGCTAATGAGACACGTTGGGGCCAACAAGAGGAGCTTCTGTTGACTCCAGTGGGTCTCTCAAGAGTCGGGGATCTGCAGTGTGAACATCCGCCTTCTGCTAATCCTCCAGTGAAACCAGTTGGGCTGGTTGTAATGTGTCATTGGAAAGCCCACACACTTGCCCGCTTGCCCGCCTGCCCATTCTTGGGACAACACAGCCACTTGCTGCATGTTTCACACCAATGGGACCAAAGTTAAAGGATTGGGGAGACAAAGGGAAGGGCAACACTAACTGTAAGCATAGGCTCAGTGGGGAGAGCTTGGAGCTTCAGTGAGAGGTAGAGTGACCTTGAGCTAGAGATTAAATCCTCTGAGGAGCTAATGAACTCACAAGGAGAGCAGGGCAGGGTGGGGAGAGGCGCTCACAAAATGCTACATTGTCTGATGTGAGGACAGTGTCCGGGCAGAAGAGCCTGAACGCAAGTCCTCCCCCTCAACTGCTGCCTCCCCAAGGAAGGCCCCACCATTCCCCTCACTGTTCAGGTGAACATGCTGAGTCACTTTGTTACTGCTTTTGTTACTGTCCTTTTGACATTCTGCTTCCATGAAGAGAATTTTCTAGGCTGCCTCTGGGAAGCAGAGCTCTCTCAGGCTCATCACAACTTTTCTCTGTTAGCCTGAGGTTTCCTCTCCTCCCTCCTTCCCGGTTTTTTTCCCCTTTAATCAGAAAAAGATGACCTTGCAAGTTGGACAGGATTCTCTCCAGCAACCCCTGGAGCCTGCAAGTACCAGCCTGCTGCTGCAGCTGACATTAAATCACCACTTCCAGAAAACCCTTCATTTTCCATCTCACTCCCTCCACAAAGATCAACGGTGATGCAGGATGGAGTGGGGAGTTGGGGGAACATAGAGGCAGGGAGAACTGGAGAATGATGCTGAACGGGACCAGGGCACGCTGCCTGTTTTCCCATTTCTGAAGGACTAAGTGGCGGCAGCAGCAGCTGCTGTGGCAGCAGTAACGGTCTCCTCTCCAAGGGAGCACCCAGGAAAGCAAAGGAACCACCCTCCAGCAGAGCTGTCAACATGAAATGCTGGGTGGTGCAGAGAAATTGCACCCACAGAGAAGAGCCCAAATACACTCACCTCCTCCATGCTGGGGGCTGTACACGGAGGCTCCTGCATCCCCCGTCACAGCCATCCATTTCCTGCCAGCCCATTAGGTGTCCTCATGCTTCCTGCTCAGTGCTTGCTCACTGCTCAGAACCTTGCCCTCTCGGTAGACACCCTAGCCTGGCACATATTCTCCTCCAGGGCAGGTCACCAACCCAAAACCTTCCTGGCCCTGATCAGGTGCTCTGAGTGGTTGGAGTGTGGTGCTCAGTCTAGCCTGGTTAGGTTGGAAGTGAACTAGTAGATGTGAACCAGAAGTGGGGGCCCTGTCAGCCAGCCCAGCACCCCCAGAAAACCTCAGGCTCCATGCCTTCCACCTGTTAGGAAAGAGGCAGACACATTACCTCCAGAAGATGATCTGTCCCAGGGAAGCCATCGCTGCTGGTGCTGGGGTACGTGGAGCTGCTGCCAACCTTTTGGATGCTATGACTCATGGGCGACACCTGTGTGTGTGTGTGTGTTGTATGTGTGTGTGCTGGCCTTAAATAGTGCACACAGGCCGGGAGGGGCGCTCAAGCTGGGGAAGGCTCAGGTATGAGGAAGCAGCTCTGCTGTGCCCGCAGGCACTGTGGCCTCCCGCTGCCCACTGGGAAGCCCAGGCTCAGGGCTGCCCCTCCACCCCCCAACACCTGGCCTGGTGGGGAGGCTGAGAAGGAGACTTCCCAGGCCTCCCCCCCTGAGGTTTGTGTTCAACACAAGTCTCTTTCTCCTGACAGGAGAAGGAGCCTGAAGCAGGGAGATTAAGTCTCAGAAAAAACTGGAATGGCTGTGCCTCGGCTATGGAATCTGGGGGCTGGAAGTCCCCACCCCTGCTGGCAACCAACACCCAGGTAGAGCTAGCTCAGCCCTGCCGGGGTCCCTCCTGGTGGTGACTCACGCCGGTGGACCTCAAAAGGTCATCATTAACTATGACAAGAGCACTGAGACTGAAACTGAATTCTCTGAGGGGTGGGAGTTCTTTGTGACTGCCTGGCTGGGTGGGCAGATGTCTCCTAGTGAGAAGACCTGTCCTTCTCACCTCACTAGTTTTCTTCAAAGATTCCCCAGAATACACAGTATTAGCTTTACATAAAATCCATTGCTGTTGCAAGAGAATGGATGTTTTAAAAGATTTATTTATTTAAAAGGCAGAGTAAGAGCGAGAGAGCTGCCATCTCCTGGATCACTTCCCTTCCCAAATGCTCGCAGTAGCTGGGGCTGGATCAGCCCAAAATTGGGATCCTAGAATTCCAGCATGGTTCCCCACATGGATGGCAAGGACCCAGATATTTGAGCCATCACCTGTTGTCCCCCAGAGTGTGTATTAGCTGGAAGTGGGATTGAAAGCAAAAACCACCACTCCTGATACAGGGTGCAGGCATCCCACACAAGAGCTTAATCCACTGTGCCTTGCTACCTGCCCCCAGCTGGATGCATAAAGTACAAAGCTTATTATCATAGTGCTGCTTCTGTGCCCCTGATGAACAACACATGGGTGTGAGGCATTTCTGGCTGGGTGTCAGGCTTGCTTACTGCCACTCTCTGCCTCTGTTGAAAGCAAAGGCACTCCCGGCCCGGGGATGATTGCAATTACTCCATAGGGGCGTGTGGAGTAAGCGTGGAGCCAAAAGAGAGTGAAGGGATGGGGAGAGGGAAAACTTTCAAAGTCTGCCAGAGCTAGATCCAAGTCCTGAGCTAGGATTTCAAACATTAATTCTGGAGAGAGACACAATTCAGGCCAAATCCATCCTCTTACTGACCAACTTCAGTCCCTCATTGTCTCCCCCTGGCACTGAGCTATTTGAATCTTCTATTTCATTATTTTGCCCCTGGTCTGCCTCTCTGAGTACACTTGCTTCTGCTACAGTGGTCTCTTTTTTTTTTTTAAAGATTTATTTATTTTTTATTTTTTTATTGGAAAGTCGGATATACAGAGAGGAGAGACAGAGAGGAAGATCCTCTGTCTGATGATTCACTCCCCAAGTGAATGCAACGGCCAATGCTATGCCGATCCAAAGCCAGGAGCCTCTTCCGGGTCTCCCACTCTGGTGCAGGGTCCCAAAGCCTTGGGCCATCCTCAACTGCCTTCCAGGGCCACAGGCAGGGAGCTGGATGGGAAGTGGGGCTGCCGGGATAGAGCCGGCACCCATATGGGATCCTGGGCGTGCAAGGTGAGGACCTTAACCACTTGTGCCACTGTGCCGGGCCCCTACAGTGGTCTTTTGAACACACAGTTCTGATAAGGCCATGTCCCTGCTTAAAATGATTGGTGGATCTCCAAGATCTTTGTTCTGGCTTCTGTCTACCTTCTCCGATTTCCCCCATCCATCTGCTTCATGAGCACTCAGTTGAGTGGTGTGGAGGTTCTCCAAAGTCCCCCATGCTCTCCCAAGCCACTCTGCTTCTTGTCATTGTTGCTTTCTTTGTCTGGGGTCCATCCCTGTCTTTTTCTTGCTTTTTTTTTTAAAGATTTATTTTATTTTTATTGGAAAGTCAGATTTTCAGAAAGAAGGAGAGACAGAGAGGAAGATATTCTGTCTGCTGGTTCACTCCCTAAGTAACCACAACGGCCAGAGCTGAGCCAATCTGAAGCCAGGAACCAGGAACTTCCTCCAGGTCTCCCACACGGGTGCAGGATCCCAAGGCCTTGGGCCGTTCTTGACTGCTTTCCCAGGCCACAAGCAGGAAGCTGGATGGGAAGTGGGGCTGTCGGGATTAGAACCAGTGCCCTCATGGGATCCCAGTGCATTCAAAGTGAGGACTTCAGCCACTAGGCAACCATGCCAGGCCCTTTCTTGCTTTATAGAAAATCTATGAGAAACTTCCAACCACTCCGTCTGGTAGATGCTGTGCTCTGGGCTCTCAGGTGCACCAGGTGCCAACTTTTGTGTTCCTAACTTGTGGCTGTTGACTTGTTTGTCTCCTTCACTAGACACAGCTTAAAAATAGAAAAGGTACCTGTGTATTTTACACCAGCATAAGGCATGCACAGAGGAAACAACCATAAAAATATCTGTGGAATAAATGCACATTTTTTCTTTCACAGCACACGATAATAGTACTATTTCCTGTTTATGCATCTAGCTCATTGCTAGTCTGTGAGCTCCCGGAGAATAAAAACTATGCCTCATTCATCTTTTTCATCACCAACCCCTAGCACCAAGCCAGATATAAAAAGGGCTCGGTAACATTTGATGGATGGGTGAGCAAAGATCTGCTTGGGTGTGATCCATCAAACGCTTTCTGGAGGAGAAGGCTTGAGGGCTGGATTGATGCTATTAGAGGCAGGGAAGAACAAGTTCCGCTGGAGAAGAAGGAGTGTAGGAGATTGGAGTGTAGGATTGGGACAAATGATAAAGCAGATGCATGGAATAAACACGTAAAACTGTTTTCTCCCTTTTGATCTTGGGGGGAAGCTAGAGACAGACTAGCCATGTATCTAGAATCAAAACATCTCATAAATTTAAAAAAAAATTAAGGAGCTCAAGCCCCTGGAGGTTCTTTGCTCCTTGTGTATCTGTTCCTTCTACTGTGCACCAGGATTGAGATCAGAATTGCAGCATATGCTGCCATGCACATGTGTGTGGATGGGGAAGCTTTCTGCGTCTTCCCAAAGGCCTTGAACTCATATAATCCCCTGAAATGAGTTTTATAAGTGGTACGCAGTCTTAGAGATTAAGGAATTTGTTCAAGATCAACTAACTTGATTTTCTCCCAAGCCTCAACTTGTCTGCAGGCACATATGGGCTCATATTAATAAAAAATTAAAAGATTTCACTAGTTCTTGAATCCACCTCCTAGGACATGAGCCTAGGATCATCTAGCCTGCCTGCCTACTTTACTTTTGGGGCCTCAAAAGAGCAAACAGTGAAGGAATCTTCCACTGACATCCTTGGCTCCTGGGACATTAGCAAACTAGATGCATGCAGCTTCGGAAAGCCTTGTGCATTTGACTTTGCCCTCTCTGATTGTAGAGAACTTTTTCCCTCTGTCGGGGAAAAGCTGGTGGGACAGAGATGAGCAATAGCAGTGGGACTCCCTGCATCAGCCAGCTGCCTGCTGACAGGTCAGCTGATGGCAGCTGTGGGAATGACTCCAGAAAAGGAGAAACGCTGGATTGTTGAGCCCAGGCCAAGTCACTGACCCATATAATCATGAGCAAATCAAATAGCATAGAGTTGTTTTAAGTTATGGTGCATTGGAGTGGCTTGTCACACAGATGTACAATCCTTTCCCTGATTCTGCTTCTTATTTCTCTTTGGTGCTCACCAACCCTGAAGTTCCTTAGGTGGCATTTTCCCATGGGCTGCTGAAGCCTACAAAGGCAACCTTACTCTAGCAAGAGTGCTAGATTGTTTCCAAATGGTAATCCATGTATTCCATGGAACACCCTATGGAGTAAGTCACATGGCACATGCACATATACCATTGCCTCAGAGTCAAAAAAAGAAAAAAAGACAAAGCACAGCAAATAAACAAAAATCACCCCATTTTATTGTTGAATCTGCCTACAGGTAAAAACAAAACAAATGTAAGGGGGACTCTCACCTGCCAGAAGCAAATGCCACACTCACATCTGCATCTCTTAATCAATATTTCAGACACATTCTACACACAAGCAAACTTTCTACCACACAACCTGTTCTAAGAGATGCCATGCGATTAGTAAGGACTGGGATCTTGTGCGGTACTGCTAGAGGAAAAGAGATCTTACGAATCTCAGCAGAGCTGGAAGGAGCAAACTTTTAAACAAGCAGCTAGGAAGGATGTTGACATCTAGCAGACTCGAACTAGCCATCGTTTTGCCTGACAGTTTGACCTGTTACTCATGAGTGTTTATTGGGGATGGCCTGGCTGCTTCCTCTCTGGTCACGTCTCCCCTCCATTCTTCCTCCACCCTCATTCTTTAGCCACAAGCGTGGATTCCTGGCAGCCCTCCTCAGCAGTTCACACACTGGCCAGAACCTTCCTGTCATCACCAAGTCAGAATGCACTGGAGCCTTCGTCAAACCCTGAGCAGCTGACTGCAAGTTCAGTTCTGCTCCCCCACCCCATATTCATGCAAGATGTTGCTGATTCATCAAGGGTCCTTTTCCTGTGAGTGTGGATGTGGTTCTAGAAATCGTTTCATCCAGACAGCCCCAAGCAGTTGGAGTTAGTCCCTATATCATTAGTCGCTGGCAAGACAGAACAAAGTAACACAAATGGTGGCTTCAACAGCAGAAGTTGATTGGCACACATTCTGGAGACTGTAAGTCCAAAGTCAAGATGCTGGCAGAGTTTAATTCTCTCCACTGACTTTGCGGGAAGAACATGTTTCAAGCTTCTCTCCAAAGCTAACAGATGCTGTCTTCTCCTTGTCTGGTCAGTCAGCTTCCTTCTATGTGTGTCTGTCTCTGAGT